GCCTGTCCTGAGACTGGACGGCAAGTTGTTGGTCATGATGGCATGTCCACTTCTTACTCGGTGCAAAAGCAAACGAAAGACCACAGGATGGCTCGTTCAATGATGTACGCAAGAGTGAAAGAGAACGGGCTAGAATCCTGTGAGGCGCCTCTGTGGGGTGCTGAGTGATTCCTTCGTCTTTCACTTTGCTGTGCTTTTACGTGCGGCGGTTTGCACTTGCCATGCTTCTAAGCGGGCCTTCGCTTGGCAGCTGTTGACGGGCTGCCTGCTAGTGTCAGGCACTGCTTCTTGGTGCCTGCCCTTGAGCAGCTTCGGTCCAGTAGAAAGTTCTCTGTGTTCTGGCTACCTGACAATAAGTCCCTGAGTAGCACGTGAGGACAACTCATCCAAACGCCAGTCACTGCCTTTGTCAATTCTGGGTCGTAAGGACCCCACGGGACAGAGTAGAGCCGCCTCTGCAGGTTTCGGAAACTGAACATCTTTATGGGAGTAGAAAGCCAGTGGGGCTCCTGGTGGCTTCAAACTGCTGATCTTGCACTTAGTAGGCCAACACGTCACCCATGTGGGCCACCAGAGCTCCTCCAGACAGCTCGTCTTTGCCCTTCACTGTCAGGTAAGTTTGCCCTCGCTCTGAGATGACTGCCAACCCCTGCTCCCAGTAAAGCCTTCCTCACAACCATCGTCACCGGCTCTGTGCAGCTTTTCATCACCTCGCACTAAAGCCCTGAGGGAAGTTCCGTTTCAGGCGTGACCGGGGTCTGAGGGCCATAGTCTCAGGGCTCCCTCCCACCATTTTTCTGCCACTCTATCCGGGACCTTCTATGGCGAACCCTTTCAGAGCCGCCAGTCGTGGTCATCAGGCACCGTCTAGTTCTGGTCTCAGGGTCGTGGCAGTTGCTGTGCATGTGGTCCCTGGGTCCTTTGGACTAATTGTTTCTATGAGTCTTAAATACCCCCACCCCCACCCCCACCCCACACTGTTCTTTGGACAAGGAAAGACCAGCAGTTGTATCTTAGAAGGCGTCTCACAAGCTTTTAAGCCCCCGGTCACTACTCACCAGAATAGGACGTGGGACACTGTCTGGGCAAATGCTTTGCTGACTGGCACTGGTGTCCTTGGAGATGGTGGCCATGAGGCCCCAAGATCAACATCTACTGTCTCAACTATTTTCCAGTGGTACCAAAGGTCAACACCATCCTGAGGTTGGGTGTGGGGCTCAACCCACAGTCCTTGGGGATCAATGAGCAGGATTAGCGTCCATCAGATCTTGAACATCTCCTTCCCTTGAGCAATACCACTCCTGCCCATATGACGCTGGGGATACGTGTGTGTGTGTGTGTGTGTGTGTGTGTGTGTGTGTGTGTCTGTCTGCCTGCCTCCTTTCAGTAGGCGGGAGCTCTCCACCCTCCCAGTGCATCCACAGTAGTGCCCTGTGGGCTAACACGACCTCCAGGTGAACGTGAACTAGTAGTATAGTTGAGAGGGTAAGAGCAGGGCACTTAGGCCAAAAGCAGGGGGGAAACAAAGTCCGGTTACAGCTTGAAATGTTGGGTTCAGGTGTGCGGTAATGTATACGCTAGACAGAAAACAATGAACTCATGTCAGCCAAGCCAGAATGGTTAACCAGCTTTACATGTGACTCCGGCCCTGCAGTGTTTCTTGTCGAACATGGGAGAGGGAGATTTGCATTTGAGGTGGGACTTTGTAGGGGCTTATGGGAGTGGGGAGGGCCTTGTGAAGACCCCCAAGACACCCAAGGCCCCACCTTTGTGGAAGCCTCGCATGTCGTGCTCTTGGCCTTTCCATTAAGTGAACTCTGATCCCCAAAGAAGCCAGTCATCGTCAGCCTTCATCCCTAGACCATCTCCTGCAGGGTGTGATTGAAAAGATTGGAAAGTCTGGATTTGTCTTTTAAATGACGTAATTTCATTACACTGCACTTTTTTTTGGCATAACCTTATGTGGTTTTCTTGTTGTTTTACTTTTATTGGCATATAATTCACTTATCGTATCAAGCAGTGCTTCAAATTCATCAAAAAGAGTTGTGCTATCGTCACCACAATTTGGGGACGTTTTCCCCATCCTTACCTCCGTGGCCATTACCGTTTCCTGTCCTCCCCGCCTCCCCTGTGGTAACACCCCATCCCTCCCCCCAGGATCCATTGATCTAGTTGCTGGCTCTGTAGGCTTCCCTACATTGCATGTTGTACGTTAAGAGGGTGATCTCGTGAATGTGAAATGTTTCCACTATACCAGAAAATGGTACAGCACTGCTATTTTGAAAGGCCTTTGTGTTTTAAACACAATGGCACTGCAACAAATAAATCCAGACTCCGACCTTCCTCAGCCTTGGAGAGTCCTGGGACTAGTTGGTGGGAAGAGGTAGGTGTCTCCTCTGTCTGTTGGCAAGAAAGGACAGAAAGGACGACGTTCATGTCCAGGTTGAAACTGCTTTCCTTACCGAGCCTCACTATTCCCTCGGGCCCCTCTTAGCTGAGATGGGCTCATCTTCCATCCTCCCTGATCATAGACGCCTTCTTGAATCATCGAGAGACCCCCAGAGGGGGCTCAAGGTCACCGGGCAGTCAGCAGCTGTGTTAGGAGCCAGAGTCCAAGTCTGGTTGAGTCTCTGTAGAGAGCTCACACTGTGGTCAGCTCTGCCATTCTGGGACTTGTGTACAGAGTCACTGCCCGTTCTGTTAGGCTGTGTGCAGACAGCTCGGGGAGCCACGCCTTCCTCTGCTGCACCCAGGAACAGGAGGGCAAGGGAACTTGTGGGCTGTTCCATAAATAAGACAATGCTCATTAATAGGATGTAAAGTTTCACATCATCATGTATACCTCTGTGGGTACCAATGCATGGGTGTCCGCAAATGCATGTATACATATCACATGTATACATACCCATCTCCCCGGCTATATCTATACATCCTTACATTTCCAAATTAATTTTGATAGTGACTGTCAGGCACTAGGCACCGATGTTCACGTTTACTGAACCAAAGCATGCTAGCCCTTCTTCCCCTGGATCCACGTCTTGCTGGATTCCATGTCTCCCACGGTGGTTTCAGGAGCAGATGATGCGCTGGCCCGCCAGCTCAGTAAACCAGTAAGAGGGAGGAACACAGTGTTGGCTGGTGCGGACGTGAGGGGGCACACACCTCCTTAGGGTGCTGGCAAGGACGAGCCACTGCCCCCTTTTGTGAACCGAGGGGAGAGTGAGGCTCGGTGAGGACACGGGTGAGATTCCGTGGCATTTCGTGTACTCAAAATGCCTTGCGGGTGGGGATTGCTGCTCTGTCTGTCTGCGGTTTGGAAAGGGGATTGTGTACCTTGAGAACGCACCTGGTTAATTTCTTGGTCACGTAATAATGAAAAAAAAACAAAAACCATGAGCACACGGGCAGCAGGGCCCCGCAGCTCTGGGTCTGGGTCCAAGGGCGGCCCTTCAGCCACCCACCGCTTGACCCCAGACAAATGGCTCCTGGGTCTCTGCGGTGTGGAGGAAAGCAGAGAGGGGTTGAGCTGTGTTGACTGGTGAGAGCAGCCAGCTCATCGCAGCTGCAAATGTCTGTTCTCTTCTCCCGGGCACTCCAGCTCTGGAGACGCTGCCCTGAGGCTCTGGCCTCAGCAAAACTCACTGCCCTCCAGCCGATGCCCCCTCACCCGACCCCACAGGGCAGGGTGGAACTGCCCCTGTGCGTCTCTGAGACTGTCACTCTTTCTGGGAGTAGAAAGCCCCAGCTTTCTCTCTCATAGCAGCTGGTGGTTTTGAACTGTTGGCCTTGCAGTTAGCAGCCCCATGCGTAAGCTCGGCAGCACGGGTTCATCTCTCACATCCCCTTCTTGCTCGGTGTGGTGGGAGCCTTGCTAAGCCTCGGCCTCCTCCCTAAGACAATGAGGATGGCAAGGGTGATGGGGAAGATCAATCAGGAACCTGGTGGCACCGTGGTTAAGTGCTCACCTGCTAACCGATACCTCCAGTGGCCCCACGGGAGACAAGACCTGGCGATCTGCTCCCACCAAGACCCAACCAGGATGACAACTAAAGTGAACACTCAGGGCTGAGGGGCCAATCCCCACTCATAGCAGCCCCGTGGGACAGAGGTGAACTGCCTGCCCCATAGGCTCTGCCCAGGGCTTGTCAATTCTAATCAGAGGGCCTGGTGATGTCATGGCTGTGTGTTGGCAATACTAGGCACAAGGTCAGTGGTTTGAAACTGCCAGCCTCTCCAGGGGAGCAAGGTGAGGCTTTCCCCGTGAGAAGTGACAGTCTCAGAAACCCACCGGGACACTTCTACCTGGTCCTGTGGGACCGCCATGAGTTGGCAGCGACTCGATGGCCGTGAGTTCGGCTTTTTTTTTATAGTAAAACTTTATGGAAGCAGACTGCTGTGTTCCCTCCCTACCCCCCGCCCCAGCAGGAGAAATGCTCTCAGTGGGCAGCTAAGTGCTTAGCCACTGCACCACTAAGCATCCCCATAAAGATGACAGCTCAGCAAGGCCATAGGGACAGTTCTACCCTGTCCTAGAGGGTCACTGTGAGTCGGACTCATCCGGATGCACAGTAAGACCACGTGTGTGACCTTGAGATGGTGCCGATGTGAATTCACTGGATCAGGCGGGCGCAGTACCCCCACCCCCTCAGACACACACACACACACACACACACACACACACACACACCTGCAGTACCCCCCACCCCCTCAGACAGACAGACACACACACACACACATACACACAGCCCCTCCCCGTGACTGGACCTCCACTCATGCTGGAGAGACAGTCCGCTCGCCTTCCACAGAGCCAGCCTCTGGCCATTCTCAGAGATCTGGGCTGGCTGGGCAGGCAGAAACCAGGGTACCCCGTAGGCAGCATAGTGAGTGCTCATGAGCCAAGAGCTGTCAGGATGGTCCCCAGGCCCTGGCACCCTCAGTGCCCAGCAGGGAAGGCGCCTGCTGAAGCTGCAGTGCCTACTGTCCTCTGATCTCTGTCCCAGGGCCATTGGAGCCAACCCCCTGTACTGTGACTGCCACCTTCGCTGGCTGTCCGGCTGGGTGAAGACAGGCTACAAGGAGCCAGGCATTGCCCGCTGTGCTGGGCCCCAAGACATGGAGGGCAAGCTGCTCCTCACCACGCCAGCTAAGAAGTTTGAATGCCAAGGTGAGTGGGGGGAGGGGAGGTGCTGGGAAAGCTGGGCTACATCTCCATTCCTATGGCTTGGGCCACCCCTGGAGGGTGGGGGGCCTGCTCGACCTTCCTGTGTCCCGGAAGGTAATTGAAGGGCAGGAAGGAAGCACCTGCTGCTTTCAGGAGTGTGCCTTCCCATCAGCCAGCAACCAACCGCAGGTCCTCAGGCTTGTGCCCTTCCCGACAGCTGGGCAAGTCCCACAGGAACAACAGCCATGCCTCTCAGCCCTCCCCTGGGGAGGAGCCCTGCAATGAGCTTGAGGCGCACGCCTCCCTCCCTGGTGGAGCCGGCCCGCTCCTGTCCTGACATTTGCAGAAGCACCAGCCTGGGTGTGATGGAGCCTCGTCTGGAGCATCTGCAAATGTTTGTTCAGGAATGGGCTGACGGGTGCACTGATGGCCCAGGAGGCCCGGCTGCGCAGAGCAGGACAGCTCCAGGGCCTATCCTGTGTGCAGAGGGCAAGTGGGAGGCCAGGGGCCACAACCCCTGCCCTCTACAAGCGTCTAGCCTGCTGTCCGGAATGAAGCTGGCAGCCACAGGTTAATGAGGAGGCCCAGCCACCCCCGGTGCCGATGCTGTCCACAGGGGCAACAGCTCTGATGGGCCCCGTCTGTGGCTTGGCTGTCTGTAGCTGGCCAATTTATGTTTAAACATTTGCTCACTGTTTACTCAATGGAGGTGGGGTTGGTGCTGGTGAGAATAGAGGTGGCTTTTTTTTAAACTTGTAATTGATTTATAATACACACCCAGAAAAGTACATAGATCCTAAGTGAGTGGGTTTGCAGACCTTTTACAAACGGAGTTCACCCACATAACGAGCACCCGGATCACGCACGAAACAGCACCCCACATGCACCTGAGGGGACTCCGTGCGGGGAGCGGTGCTTCTCACTGTCCGCAGACCAGTCCTGGGTGGTGCAAACAGCCCATGCGCAACTGGCAGCCAAAAGGTGGGGTTTCGAACCGACCTTGTGGCTCCCCGGAAGCAGAGGCCTGGGGGCCACTTCTGGACAGACCTGCAGCCCAAAGACTGGGTCCCCCCAGCTGGGCTTCTGTAACGCTCAGGTCGCCCTGGGTCAGAATCAACACCACTAGCAACTGGCACCCACAGGAGTCTCAGAAGGTTGCCGTGTGGGAGAACTGGCTGGTTTTCCTGTGCCGCCTCCTGTGGGCTTAACTGCCGGCTCCAAGTCCTGGGAGGCACCCGCGTGGGGCCCAGAAGTCTGGAGAAGGAGGCAACGCCTTCCTTCCTGCTTCCTTCTTGGAGAGAAACGGCGTCGAGGGGAATCGCCACCCCCCCACCCCCCACCCCCCACCGCAACACCAGCATGGAGCCCGCTGCACAGCCGGGCCCAACAGCTCAGGCGGCCCCTGCACACTTCCCTGGCTCTACAGCTGTCAAGGAGGGCCCATCACCCTGCAGACATGGGCACGCGGGGCCAGCAGGATGCCTGCCCAGCGTCTGGAGCCCCACCCACCCCACGTGCAAGAGCGGGCTTTGCTCCCGGGCCCCCCAGCTCTGAGAGGCAGGAGCTGTCCACTGGCCCATTTACACAGAAGGGTCTGGAAACGGGAGTGGGGATGAGCAGGGGCCTGGGGAACTACAGGGAAGGGTGCAGATCTTGACAGAAAGGGCTTCCCACCCAGCCTGACAGTGCAGGCCTGGGGGCCTCAGCCAAGCATGCT